CCTGTCCCGTGTTCCTCATCTTTGCAGTCTGTGAAAGTCATTTACTACTTGGTCACTGATGCACCTAATGATCACTGTGTCAATCCAGATTATATAAACTCCAGCAATATGAATCTCATATTCCTGCTCCTGGAGGTGCAGGAAGAAGCAACATCAGTTTGCTTTCCCCTCAAAACTGCAGAGACAAATCGAGGAGGGAGTTCACAGGCAGATGAGCCAGGATGTCCTGAGCTCAGATCGGCTCTGTTCCCAGCCATGGGGTTGTTTTCTTCAGAAGTTTGCTGAGACCGCATCTCAACTGTGATATTAATGCAAGTGTGAGCTCACACTCAAGCCTGCACCCTTTCTATATCCATATTGCTAATAACTTATCCTCCAGCTTGATAAGATAGTACCAGGGTAGAAATGGCTTGTGCTCCAACATTGCCTCTGCCAAGTGATGTGGCCACAACTACCTGAGATGTCCAGTGCTGAGGACTCTGGCCAACCTGAGCACAAAGTGCTTCATGCTACCAAAATTTCTAGGTTTACCCGTGTAGAATAACCATGAAGCAAGCCAGAACACATATCTATAATGCATTTTTCCATCTGAGTTATGTTGTCTGGTGCAAAGTGCCCAATACTTGATCAGAGTATCACTGAAATCTCCCTTGCACTCTCAAATAGCTGTAAGGGAAGTCAGAGGTTTGCTTTCAGTCAGAGGAGAATTTCCACCTTTTGAGAATAAAGTGGATTTTCATCAGCATTGACTCCATGGGGAGCTGTACTGAAATATGCTATTATCTAGCTCTGATATTTTTGTTGTTTCATATCAAAGGAGCAGCGTTAGACCTAATTATTTTGCACCTTATGCATCTTTTACTTTGTTTTAATTACTTGTATTTATATTTAAGCTGTATTTCAGTAAGACTGAATTAATGATTAATGATTAATACAAAAATGATTAATTATGATTAATTAATGATTAATACAAAAATGAATGATTAATACAAAAAGAAAGAAAAAAAAAAGAAAAGAATACGCTTGTTATTTTTACTGAAAGTGAGAGGATCAGCCACTTTCACCAGTGTAGTTCTTTATTCCTAAACTAGATTTATTCTAACTAGATTATCACAAGACGGTTATGTCAGTCTGAGACTACAAGGTATTTTTTATTTAGTTGGATGGAGATAGGCAAAAAAAACTAAGCACCTATCTTCTGTTTCAGGACTCCCAGTTCCTAAACTTGGTACCTCATTGACCACTGGGACAAGAACTCTGGGAACTTCTGAGACATTTCCTTTCTTCTGACATCAATGGATCTTGGCTCTGGTCAATTCTTGAAGACCCTTGGAAGCACTGGAAGATCTGAGGAGCTCTTATACACCTCAAAAAGAGATTTTCAGCTTCAATTCTAATAAAAGCATGTCACTGTAAAACCACATTGCTGACATTTGCTCTTGTATGTCAGGGTGGTTTTTCTTTTTGTTATTGTCTATAATAATCAAATTGTAAATGAAGCTTATTTAACTAAATTAAGTTAAATTATTATGTGTCACTGAGTCCTGTTAATTCTCCACTGATAATTTCCGTCTTGCAAAGATCTGTATGACGATGTATGCATATAATAACTCAAAAAGTACTAGAACCCATTCTCTGACTGTGCAGTCAACTGAAGACTTTGGCCATATCTATGCTGTTAAAATCTCCTCTCCTCTAAAACAGGGCCTCCATCTGAAACTGAAAAGTCCATGGGCTATGTCTAGACATGTCTGAGAGACTTCTATTGCCAAGGATTCCTCTAACAGTTGTGTAGTATGTCCAATGGTGTCCCCATGCCCATTCCTTGGTGTCATTCTGTTAATTAATATAAAAGATCTTTCATGATTTCATATTACCTTTTCCTCTGTTTTATGTTCCTGTTGTCTCCTTCTACACCACTTTCAAGCTGCGTCTACTTTCAAGGACCTACATTTGACCCCTGCACTGCTGTGAAGCACTGTGATAAGTGAAAATCTGTGGCCTATTCACTAAATGTTTAACAATCACATCTCTTCTTTTAACGTGATTACAAAAACCCACTTCCCCATATTCAGGAGATGTATTATCATAGAATCATAGAATCATAGAATGCCAAAGGTTGGAAGGGACCTCAGAAGTCATCGAGTCCAACCCCCCTGCACACGCAGGGTCACCTAGAGCACGTGGCACAGGGCTGCATCCAAGCGGGTTTTAAAGATCTCCAAAGAAGGAGACTCCACAACCTCTCTGGGCAGCCTGTTCCAGGGCTCTGTCACCCTCACGGTCAAGAAGTGTTTTCTCAAGTTCCTGTGGAACTTTTGGTGCTTCAGCTTGTGGCCGTTTCCTCTAGTCCTATCACTGTCCACCACTGAAAAGAGGCCGGCCCCCTCCTCCTCACTGCCTCCCTTGAGGTATTTATAGACACTGATCAGGTCCCCCCTCAGCCTTCTCTTCTCCAGGCTGAACAGACCCAGCTCTCTCAGCCTTTGCTCATAGGGTAGATGTTCCAGGCCTCTGATCATCCTTGTAGCCCTGCGCTGGACTCTCTCCAGCAGCTCCACATCCCTCTTGTACTGGGCAGCCCAGAACTGGACACAGGCTCCAGATGTGGCCTCCCCAGGGCTGTGTATATGGGGACGATCACCTCCCTCGACCTGCTGGAGACGCTCTTCTTAATGCACCCCAGGATCCTGTTGGCCTTCTTGGCCACCAGGGCACACTGCTGTCTCATGGTCATTTTGTCATCCACCATGACACCCAGGTCCCTCTCTGCGGGACTGCTCTCCAGCAGGTCCACCCCTAATCTGTACTGGTGTCCAGGGTTATTCCTCCCCAAGTGCAGGACCTTGCACTTGCCCCTGTTGAACCTCATGAGGTTTCTCGCCGCCCAGTCCTCCAGTCTGTCCAGGTCCCTCTGGATGGCAGCACAGCCCTCAGGGCTATCAGCTACTCCACCCAGTTTGGTATAGTCGGCAAACTTGCTGAGGGAGCACTCCAGCCCTTCATCCAGGTYGTTAATGAATAAGTTGAACAGGACCGGACCGAGAACTGACCCCTGGGGGACACCACTAAGTACAGGCCTCCAACTGGACTCCGCACCATTGACAACCACTCTCTGCACCCTGCCATCGAGCCAATTCCTAATCCACCTCCCYGTCCACTCATCTRTSCCACACCYTYSGAGCTTGCCCAGGAGGATGCTGTGAGGGACAGTGTCAAAAGCCTTGCTGAAGTCCAGATAGATGACATCCACTGCTCTGCCCTCATCTATCCAGATAGTCACTCCTTCATAGAAGGCGATCAGGTTAGTCCAGCAGGATTTCCCCTTGGTGAATCCATGCTTGGTGAATCCATTATTATTATTATTATTGTTAATAATATTTGCATTGTTGATACCAGTAGTTAGCAAAAGGGCTAATCATAATTTGGGATTAGGTTTCTACTATCACAATCATAATTTGGAGAATCTGTTTATAACCACTATTGCTTTGAGAAATAAGAACATGATCAAGCCATATTCATATTCATGTTTTTTCCACTTCTCATAAAAATGCCCCACAGTGCACATGTCTTGTTGACTTTGGGAGAGATAGGAGACAGATTTCTTGACCAAAAAAAAAAAAAAAAAAAAAAAAAAAAAAACAAGCCAAGACAATTCCTCATGGGTGTAAGGAACAAAAACCAAGTCTTTCGGAACAAGTTTATTGCAATATATGGAGACATGTAGAGTATAGACCATGATATATTAACATTCCATTTGCGCATTCAGTATTTTCCCTAGAGTGTATTTCTATGCAAACCTCATTACTCTAGGTTCACAGATTCACAGAATCACAGAATGGTTGAGGTTGGAAGGGACCTCTAGAGATCTTCTAGTCCAATCCCCCTGCTCAAGTAGGGACACCCAGAGCACGGGGCACCCAGTTGCATCTAGGTGGGTTTGGGAGATCTCCATAGAAGGAGACTCCACAACCTCCCTGAGCAGCCTGTTCCAGGGCTCGGGCACCCTCATAGTGAAGTAGTTCTTCCTCACCTGTAGATGGAACTTCCTGAGATTCAGCTTGCACCCATTTCCCCTTGTCCTATCGCTGGCCACCACTGAGAAGAGTTTGACCCTTTCCTCCCTATATTCTCCCCTCAGGTATTTATACATATTGATCAGATCTCCACTCAGTGTTCTCTTCTCCAGGCTAAATAGACCCAGGATTCTGAAAAAAAAATAAAAAATAAAATGAGTTTCCAATCTGAATTCCTATGGAGGAAGGTAATCTGCATCCTCACATAGGGACAGTCTTTCAAATTTTGGTCATCTGCCCTCTTCAGCATCTGCATTTTTGTTAGCAATGGATTTGAACTGCAAGGACATTTTATAAAACATGCAAAATATTGGTCTTTCCTGCATCATTCAAAGATTGCTCTTTGAAGAGCAATCAAAGTCCTGAAGTTTGCTTGGTGGCAGGCTTTTCCATTTTTGTGGCTGCTGATGCTCCCTTGCTGGCTTGCATTAGAGCAAGCTAATGATGCTGATGCTCCCTTGCTTTTCCTCTAACAGAGAGACTGGACATGTGTAATGAACAGATCTCCCCAGAAAACACTTCATCTTTGGGGATTCCTCAACTCACCATGGTCACACAGCAGGGTCTTTTTTGCTGGCAACGCCCAAGGAGCCTCATGTGGGGAGGACATTGATCCGTGAAGCAGAAGCCTCCAGCATTTTTGCACTGCATCTCACTATTAGGTGCACGCATAAAACCTGCATGGAGAAGCAGAGGTTTTGCTTGACATATTACTGCCTCAGGTCTATTCCTGTGCAAAATTCCTGCTGCAACCTTTGCAGGTGATGGATTCTTTAGAAAAAGAATTCAGAAAAGTAATAGTACAAAGTCCTGTGAACATTCAGAATTTTCCCTATCACCTTTTTCTTTTAGTTTTTATGTAGTTCTTACCTAAAGTGCTGTGGAGCACTAAGAAGAGAAGAGCAAAGAAAAGATAAGAAATCTTCATATCCAAGTCCAGTGTCACAAAATATAACAGCTGACAAGAAAAAAAATTATAGACAGGTCACGGGTTTATCCTACATGTGTTATTACCTGGTTCAAACACTATTTATAACACATCAGTTGAAATGTGTTAATAGAAACTATAATTAATGCAATAGAGTAAATCTTTAAAAATATATCTATTGAAATAGTATATCAAACAGGAAAAAAACTATTTGAAAGCACATTTCAGAAGATCAAAAAAGTATTTTATGTCTATAAAAGTAAAAATAATGAAATGGCCATTCTCTATTAGTGATAGCAAGCCTATATAGCTTCAATATAGACTCTTAAGTTGAACTATCATATACTCAAGATGTTATAACTAATAAAAAAGTTAGAAATGTAATTAATCTCCTGTAGCTTTTAACCATGTATTAAAATATAAACAAGCCTGTTTAAACATTGTCTGTTGTTTGACTTCCAGGTAACACTGATATGTGAAGAAATTTATCAGTTCTTCCATTGGGACATTCATCCCTTTTTATTTGAGCCTGTTCACTAAGATATACTCCTTTGAAATTAATATAATTTGTTTTCAAATTTTAACAAAAAAGACAAACTAGTTAATTATTAAAAATATCCCTTTTATTTTTTTCTGCTTTATTCCAGATGTTGTTAGATAATGATTTATATTATTATGATTGCTCTGATAATAAATGCAAAATTGCAATTATTTAAATAATAGTAGCCATTTTTCTACCTTACAAGCCAGTATTAAATCCCTAGAAAGTCTTTACAGCAAAAGCTAAAGAGTTATTAATTTCCTCTGTACCTTTTATGTAACATATGCCAAGTGAAAGCCTAGGGATATTTCTTGCTACAAAGTCCAATTTACTGTTATAAATAGTACTAACTAACGCAATATATTCATAAAAAATCACCATTATTGACTCTAATAATCAGCCAATAATGTTACTAAAATATTTAAACTCTAGAATACATAAGTAATATTATACATTTTAATTGTCTAAGAGGATTTTATTAAATTCTAAAATTCTAAGTCTTGGCATAGTGAATATCTTTTTTGATAAGCCCAGAAAATGACCCAAAAAATAAAAGATTTGTGTTTTGCTCCCTAATAACATAAAGCAATGTGAAAAGTACATTTTCAGCTCACTCTAGTGAACCTCACGTCAGTAAATAGAGGTGGAAAGTGACTGCAGTAGCCAGTCCATCCTACCTGGTTCCGCTCAGGGACCTGCTCAGCTTCTCCAGGTGCTGTCTGGTCCCAGAACAACTGCTTTTATACATTGCCATTCTTGATAAAGCTGCCACAGACCGCTGTGTCAGTAAGAAGTGACACGAGCTTCTCACGGTTACCAAACTGCCAGTTCCCAGCAGGAGAGCAACGGAGACCGCTCATGAACTCACCTTTCTCTCTGGAAAATGAGCTGGCATTTCTGAAAAACACGTTGCACCACACTGGGTTGTGCAAGAGCCACTGAAGGTTGAGGGGAAAAAAACCCAAAAAATAAACAAACGAAAAACCAACAGCAAAGAAATCATAAAATCATGATAGGAAAAATCCAAATGGGGGTTTTAACCACTCAGCAATTCTTAATCACACTGCAATTCACACTGCTGTTTAATTGAGGCAACATGCACATATGCTTTACAGAAGGCAGGAGCATTTTTTTTTTTAACTTTACTTAAGCAAACAGAAATAAACATTGTGAATGTTAAATACATAAATAGGTTCTTAAAAACACAGAGCTCTGATGTGAGTTGGTCTCACTTCAGTGGGGTTTTGGGGGTCCGTTTCACCTGAAAAAATTGTAAACAATTGGAAGATGGACCATTACTCAAGTCCTGAAAAGGACACCCAAACAGGGAGATATCTTTTATTCTGAGAACACATGCAGACATACTAATATTTTTGTATATATTTGTATCTATATGTTCATGATCTATAAGTATTATAAAAGAAATAAAGGCTCATTTTTTTCTAAATAGAGATAATAAAATATATTAGAATATTTAGAATAAAAATTCTAGATTTTTTTCTAAATATTTTCTAAATATTTTTTCTAAATAAATAAATTCGTGTTTTGTTTAAGCTAAAGAATATATGACTAGGAAAGAATATTCTAGACTGTGCTTTAGTCAGGAATAGCTGCCAGGATACTAATTTATGTGACTGTTGTTCTAAAATTATGCACCCTGCTTTATATAATAATGCTGGTGCTTACTCTTTCATCTCTCTACAGTCCTCCTAGCACATTCACACCAAAATATACATGTGAGTGCACCTGAATTTAACCTTGTGAGTCTGAATATCATTTCCTGCCTGCTGAGATTCACCTCTGGTGACAGGGAGTCCCCAGGGAATGTCAAGCCAGGAGGATCCTTCACCTGCTCTTTGTCATCCTTGTCCTCCAGGGTCCTATGTGCAAAAATGTGCAGCACAAATTGCGGTGAAGGAAGAGTCCTGTTTCTATCACACTGTCCTTGGACAGCCCTATGGAAAGTGGCTCAGAACTGACAAAAATGGCAAAAATCAGCCTGGAAATCATGATTGCCACCTGGCGTTTTCTTCAGCAATGCTGAGAGCTGTTCCCTAAACTCTTCTAGTATGGTAAAAAGGCTGACCCTTTTCCATGCACAAAGATGGAACAGAGGGCCTGCCTCCTGCTTTCCAAGACATTGAAATATGTGCAAAAACATACTTGTTTGGAAAGCAGAGCAGAAACTAAATGTCATTTCAGCTGAGCGGTAGTAATAATATTTATCTACGCATCACAAAATGAGACCTTTTATCCTACAAGGGATGCACACAGCTGAAACCAGAAACAGGGACTGCATAACCCAAAGTAGGACATCTGAGATGCCTTCCAGTTCAGCACTCAACATCATCCAATCCCACAGAGAGAAGCAATGTACTCCTGCATTTTGCCCACATCTGGAGTCCCTCCCAGGCTGTTCTACCCTGCCTCCTTGCTCTAGGGCAAGATTTATGATCCTGCCTGTTTTTATGATCTTACTACTTGTTTTACAAGCTAGAAAGATTATAAGCTGTAGCTGAAAGCCTACTGATGCAGGCAGATCTTCAATGCCAGCCCTGAACTGTGCAGCAAGCACCCACATGCTGAGCTCTGGTTCCTCAGTGCCTGTTTGGAGATGAGTTCGCTGGTTAGTGACCTCAAACCACTCTCTGTCTCGAGGGGGACATCTCCAATGACCCTGCAGACAGCTGCATGCACACCTGCAACCACAACACTGAGCACTGGTGAACTGGGCATTCAGCAAGCAGGAAATGCCTGCAGCATTTGCCCTTTCCTACTAACACAGCTCTGTAAAGTTATCATAAGGAATATCTTTGCTTCTCCCTGACTCATGAGAACCTGTACTCCAATTTATTCTGTAGCACTTTTATTTCTATTACAATGGCACAGCCTCCACGTAGGCACAGTAAAGGACAAAGTGAGGACTCCACAGAATCAGGAGTAGAGCCCAGTAAAGACTCCAAAAAGGCTCCAAGTGTCAAAGACCAGCTGGCATGAGGGTGGGAAGCTCATCAAGAGACATGACATCTGCTCAGGATGAGGATGGAGAAAGTGGAAGAGGAAGAAAGAATCATTCTTGCTGACCCAGACAGGGAAACAAAGCTGCAGGGAAGGTTTTCTCAATAGTGGACACACTGAACCAGAAGATCTGCACCATATCCCATCATTCTACTTCTAATACTTCTAATAAAATCTACTACTACTGTAGTAATAAAATCTACTACTTCTGTAGAACTAACTGCTAATAACTAATTCTAACTGCTAATAAGATCAACTTCAAATCTCCTTCTAATAAAATCAACAGTAGAGATTCAGCCGCTTTCCCTTTCGCTTTCCCTTTCCCTTTTCCTTTCCCTTTCCCTTTCCCTTTTCGCTTTCCCTTTCCCTTTCCCTTTCCTTTTTCCTTTTTCCTTTACCTTTTTATTTTACCTTTTTTCTTTTCCTATTCCCTTTCCTTTTTTTCCTTTCTCTCCTTTCTCCTTCTCTATCTCTTTCTCTTTCTCTGTTCACAATATCAAAGCACTTGTGAAATAATTGCATCTGTGTCCCAGAAAGGAGTAAGAGCAAAAACATTCATTGCTAGACTAAGCACAAAATCTTCACAACCTTTAAAGTAAATACATAGTGTGTGAATATACTGTGTATACACTTATTCATGTATAATACATATATACAAATACGCACACACATACACAGAGAATGCTTGACTTCTGACTGTTACTTTGGTCTCTACTAGAAATTCTATTAGAACTAGAAGTATCTTCTTAATAACCTGCTTATCTCTTTTAGAGAATTTGGGAAATACGTATGAGGTCAATAGCAGTTCTAGATATTCTACAAAGTTTGGGTACTCTGAGAAAGGCTGAATACAAATCAATATCAGAAAGGACACCAAAACAACAGGAAAAGAAATTAGTAACCCAAGGATGAAGCAAAGAGGTGAAAATGTGATAAATGATAAAATTTTGTGATGACAATGTATTTATGTTTTAATTGCATACAGTATTGAATATGCATATAGTCATGAAGAAAAGTCATCCAGATTAGACTTAATGGACAAAATGTTATGAAGGGAGATGTTGACCACATTATGGCTGCAAATTAGACAAGCTGCACACAGAACATGGAACAAGGAGCCTGGAGGAGCTACACAACAGGCATTGCATTTCCCAGGTATTTTACATAACCTTGTGGTCTAACGTATCTTGCACAGCCTAGGATGGTTCAAGATGGATTGCACAAATATCAGGGGATTTGTGGCGAAACCAGACTCAAAGAGCCCCTTTTCTCATTGGAGAGCACTAAGGTTGAGTTCAAATTTGAGTGGAAAAGGCTTTTTCATCAGCTCTAGACTGCTCTGGCCTCCTTCCCAAAGTGCTATATAAAGGGGACTGTTTGGGCTTGGGGCATCTACTGGAGAAGAGGCAGATAGCCAAGGTGATCCTCCAACTCCTCCTCTGGTAACTCTCTCCGTGTTCTGGTTCTGAACAGAACATGCCCATTTTATACTCTCCTTATTCTTTCGTTAATCTCCAGTCTTGCAGGTTTTCTGCTTTTATTAACACCTTCTTTTCCTACTGCAGAGAATATAGCCTGTCTCTACCTGTGGGTTGATCGCCAATATTTCAGGTAGGAGCTGTGTTTGCTGACCTCCCGGGTTAGTGGGAATTAATTAACTTCATTCAAGTTATTCTTTTTTCGAATGTGTATAATTTTGGTCAAAGCAATCTTGTTTTAAGCTGATGCTGATCTCCCAGTAAGCAGGGGACCCTCTATTCATCATATTTTGGTCTTGGGGTCTCTGCTCATTACAGACAAGGAATCCACAACCCACTTACAGCTATGAGGATCCTGTACCTGCTCCTGGTTGCCCTCTTCCTGGTGATCCAAGGAGTTGCAGGTAACGTGTGAAGGACACAGGGAGCGGAATGAGAGAATGAAAGAGTGGGAACATCTCCCACATTGCAATCACTTTTGATCCCTTTCACATCAAATGACTGTTGTTTTTGCATTGTGCAGGGCAGCCCTTCATTCCTAGACCTATAGATACCTGCAACGCCCAAAACGGATTCTGCTTTCCAACGATATGTCGAAGGCCATATTATTGGATTGGAACATGTGCTAATGGATATTCTTGCTGCAGAAGGTATGTAGAAGCACCGGAATTATTTGGGCATTTATTGGTGTCCTCCTTATCTTCTTTCCAGATCAGCTTCTTTGAGGCACAGCTCCTGACATAGTTCCTTCTCACTTATATGGCACTCTTCCTGCTGGCACAGAGGGTCCTCAGGGGGCTTTCCCACCCCAAGCAGATCCCAAAAAAGAACATCACCAATGAAAATGTATTGATGCATAAACTAATACTCTCTCTTTTTCATTATGCAGGGGATGGTGAGCCTGGTAACAGTTTCTGTATCTGGGAGTTCTTTCCGCATCTATTGAATTGCTTTTGAATCACCCTGAACTCATCGCTTCTGATGGTACTGGCTCCTGCTGCAGTGGAAGACTCTTGAGAAATTCATTTGCAGAGAAACATGCATTAATATGAGGGGAAAAATAAAAAGAAGAACAAGTCCTTCCCACAGAAATTATTTTTTCTCCCCTGCTCCCCTTTAATAAAACTATCATGGCATTCATACTGCTGAACCTTGGGTGTGTTTTCTAGGGAATGAATGGATGTTTGCTAGCACTGCTTGCACCACAATCAGTAGCATAAAGATGGGCAGGTAGCTTTCAGATCTGGACATTTCTTCACATTTTCCCAGCCGCTTCCTAAGGAAAAAGGGAGATTCTTGGTAGCCAAGTTCCTGTATCTCTTTTGCAATGACCATAGTACCTTTCCCAGGGACTAAATCCTCATGTGTTTTGGGAGA